GCAGAGAGAAAGAACAGAGAAAGAGAGAGAGAGAGAGAGAGAGAGAGAGAGAGAGAGAAGTGGGGGAAGGGGAGAAGTAGGGAGAGAGACAGAAGCTGCCTCTCTGAGAGGAAGACAGGAAAGAGAGAGAGCTCAGGCCAGAAGCTGAAGATCAGCCAGGTCAGTAGATGGGGGAGGGAGTGGGCATGGCTTGTCTCTTAAAGAGACAGAACAATCATTACCTACACCTTCTTCTGGGAGCTTATATCAGGAGAAGGGAGAAGGAAGGTTTTGCTCTTTGCCTACTTGCTCTTACCTCACTAGTAAGTCCACTCTTTGCTGACATTAGAGCCTACGGCTTTGGTATTCTAGCACTTACTAAAGACAGCTGAGACATCCAGCCTCAGACTGAGCAACGACTGGATTCTTGGACTTGCCGATATAATGGTGACTATGAGGACTCAAGATTCTTTTTTTTTTTTTAAAAAAAAATTTATTTATTTATTTATTTATTATGTATACAGTGTTCTGTCTGTATGTTTGCTGGCCCAAAGAGGGTACCAGATCTCATTACAGATGGATGTGAGCCACCATGTGGTTGCTGAGAATTGAACTCAGGACCTCAGGAAGAGCAATCAGTGCTCTTAACCTTGGAGCCATCTCTTCAGCCCCCTAAGATTCTTTAGTATTGTAAAAATCTTATAAGGTTGTACCAGCTATGTCTTTCCACAGTTTGAAAATCACAGTTCATGAAACAAGACTTCGAATCTGGAATGTGAATTTCCAGCAAAGGAGGCTAAGGACTGAAAGATGCATACAAGATGTTCTGAGAACCCAGAGTGTCTCTTATCCTGAGATTTTTTTAGAAACAGCTACTTGTGAAGATAGACTATAATCATTAAACTAAGAAATAGAATAAGAAATAGAGTGTTTTACTTATTAGGTTGGCAGGGATAACAAAGACCATGAAGTATGGAAAGAAACATATGTGAACATAACAAGCTCATGTGTCTTTTTGTTTGTTTGCTTGCTTGTTTTTCTGAGACAGGGTTTCTCTGTAGCTTTGGAGCCTGTCCTGGAAGTAGCTCTTGTAGACCAGGCTGGCCTCGAACTCACAGAGATCCGCCTGCCTCTGCCTCCCAAGTGCTGGGATTAAAGGTGTGCGCCACTACCGCCCAGCTCCCCCCCTCCATGTGTCTTAAGAAATAGCACATTCCAGCTTCCTTGAAGGAAACATCTGTTGTCCTCAGTGTGCTGTGGGTCAGAATGCTCTAGATGTAGAATGTGTTTCTCTCTCAGTTAAGGATGTTGGCAACTGGGTATGACAGCACATGCCTGTGGTCCCAACACCAAGAGAGGGAGGCGGAAGGCTGAGTTCAAGCCAAGATTATCCTTGGTGATATAGTAAGGTCAAGGCCAACCTGGTATCTATGAGAAACTTTCTAAACCAGGAAATAACATCAAAAGGATTTTACAGGGAAAAAAAATCAATCATTTTTCTTACTCCTAAACAGCAGAGAGAAACAGCATTTGTTGAATGTGTGATATCCAACTTAAGTATTTTTCTAGGGTTTTTGTATATGCTGTTTCATAAAAGAACCTGGGGCATTGTATGGACTGTATTCACTCCAGACTTACAGTATAATAAGATGTTTTATATACAGAAGACACCTACAGGAGAAAACTGGAACCCGCCTACACCTCATCACTTAATGTGATGTCTGTCTACATCAGAAGCCTCAGCCTTTCACTTGGCAGTGCCCGCTATGGAGCATTCCTTTCTCACCGTTCCCTCCATCGAGGAACTGCCTTGTTCATTTCTGCAGCTGGCAGCTGTGTTTATTTCGGAAGTCAGTGATGTGCAGTAATGTTGCTTTGACTTCTCATGGGGAGAGAGGAAATGCCTGGACTCTACTAAGGGATTTGTACAGAGAAGTGATGTCTGGAAAGCTGGCTTGGGGTCAGGTGGTAAGAATTTCTGTCCCTTGTATCTTATGACTAAGTTTTTAAAAAACATATTTATTTACTTTATGTGTATGAGTGTTTTATGTGCTTGTGGAGGCCAGAAGAGGATGTCAGGTCCTTTGAAACAGATGGTTGTGAATCACCAGGTAGGTGTTGAGAATTGAACCTAGGTCCTCTGAAAGAGCAGCCAGTGCTTTTAACCTTTGAACCAACCCTTTTCAATTTCTGAATTTTAAGTTGTTGCACCCTGGAGTCCAACAACCAGGAGGAATCGCCCGAAGAGACCATCTCTCACACCACAATTGTTGTAAAAGCATGAGGATTTTATTAATTCTGTCATGACAGGGTCTTTCAGCATTCGAGAGGTCAGAAAGACCCTGAATAGCTGGTACATTCTACTTTTAAATCAAAAAGCCACAAAAGGAAGGGAGGTGTCTGGGGATGTTCTTTAACTATTATGATTGGCTTATTCAAAAGGGCTATTATCAATAATTGACTGGAGAGCAGTTGCCAGATCAGATGAGGTAAGGGGGAACATCTGAGGGTCACTTTGTCCCCTTCCCAGGCACTGAGTCAAAACACCAGGAACTGAGTCAACACCTAAGGATTATCTTGCCCCTATTCAGGGAGATGGAAGGTTCCCAACATCTCAGTACATGCATGTGTAGCTGTTATGTCCTTGGTTTCCAGGGGAGGGAGGAACACTACTGCTGAGAGGCCTCAGACATGGCTTCAGAATTGTTTTAAAGTTTTACAAAGTTATTTAACAGTGCTATGTGGGTTTCGTGTCTGTCCTATGCTTGTAATTTCAGCACTCCAGAGGTTGAGACAGTAAGATTGTAAGCTTCAGGCCAGCCTGGACTACATGAGAGCGTCCGGAGCACTGCTTTAGCTTTTCACTTGCCATGTGGCTTTCAGAATACTCAGACTTACTTGAGCAGAACAGAAGACTGTGTGTTTGCTCTGTCTCTGAGTTGTCAGTTGTGGGTGTTTGTTTGTTTTTAGCTTTTAGCCTACCAATTCTTTCAGCATTCTCACCCTCATTTTTAAGCTTTTTATATTTTTCACAACTTATGCTAAATTAACAGAAATAGTATTTTTAAATTTTTTTGAGATAAGGTCTCACTATATAGCTCTGACTGGCCTGGAACTTGCAAGGTTGACCAGGCTGGCCTCAGACTCACAGGGATCCACCTGCCTCTGCCTCCTGAGTGCTGTGATCATATGGATGTGCAACTATACATCATAATGTCTGGCCAAGATCCTTTTTTTAATTAAGATTTTTTTTTTAAAAAAAAAATTTTGCTCTTGCTGGGTATGGTGGCACACGCCTTTAATCCCAGGACTCCAAAGGCAGAGGCAGGCAGATCTCTGTGAGTTTAACGCTAGCTTGTTCTACAAAGCAAGTTCCAGGACAGCCTGGAAAAACCTGGTCTAAAAAAACCAAATAATTAAAAAAATAAATTTTACTTTTATGTGTGTTTTGTCTGCATGTATGTTTTTGTGCCAAATACATGCAGTGTCTAGAGAGCCTAGTAGAGGGCATCAGATCCCCTGGAGCTGTAATTACATACAATTGTTAGCTACTATGTAGGTGCTGAGAACTTAACCTAGGCCTTATAGAAGAACAGTATTGAGTTATCTCTACCCCTCTACCCAAGGCAGGATTCTTACTGTTTAGGAACAATAATTAAGTTGATATCAGAAGCTGAGAGCTAGTTTATATAGAATTTCCTACAGAGAGGTCTGATGAGATGGAGTAGGCTATGTAGTTATATATGGTTAGCTGTAGACTGGGAGAGACCTTAGGACATTTTCTAAGTAGAAGGAATGCTAGCAAGTTTGACATATAGTGATCAAAGCTAAGAAGCTTCAGCCAGAGCATGGAGAACTTTGTCAATATTATAGATCTATGAGTTTGGGTTTTATTCTAATTTTAAAAGCACCAAAAATTTAAGCAGGGATAACAATTCATAATCTAAGTCTGAATCACATAGTGGAAAATATTGAAACTGTGATTTCCATCATGTTCTTTTTCTGACTTCCTAGATTCAGATTCAGCTGTTCTGCTGTATATTTGAACATCGTTAATTTTTAACAACTATTGAACGTTATTTTTATCCCCACCAAAGTTTGACAACCATTGATTTAAAAAAATATCATAATTTATTAGAAAGAGATTTGTACCATGTCATTTTAAGCATGGGGATTAAGAGAGAAATGCTCAGTGAGTGGATCATTTATATTTAAGAATTGGTGTGCATTTCTCAGAACATCATCAAGTATCATTAATTTTAAAAACTTTTTGTTTGGTTTTTTTGAGATACAGTTTCTCTGTGTAGACCTGACTGTCCTTTAATTCACTCTGTAGACCAGGCTAACCTCAAACTCACAGAGATCCACCTGCCTCTGACTCCCAAGTGCTTGGATTAATCTCATCCTTTTTCACTCCCAGGCAAGTTTTCATTATTCTCTCATCTCAGGTGCCCATTATATATATTTAATATAAGAAGTCATTCTAAACTAACGTGTGTGTGTGTGTGTGTGTGTGTGTGTATCATCATCATCATCAATCATCCAGCAAGTGTCACCATGCCTTATGACTAAACTTTTCTTTTTGGGTTTCTTGAGATAGGGCTTCTCTGTATAGTCCTGGCTGTCCTGTAACTCACTCTGTAGACCAGGCTGGTCTCTAACTCACAGAAGCCTGCCTACCTCTGCCTCCCAAGTGTGGGGATTAAAGGCATGTACCACTACTGTCCAGCAAAGCTATTTTTTTTTATTCTGGACAGCAGCATCAAAATCACCTAAGTTGGTTTTTGACTATGGAGGCATGTATAGAATAGTGTAGAATGGAAAACCATATTACTTTAATGAAACTATATATGTAGTAAATTTTGCTTTGAAAGGTAGATAATGATATGGGTGGGATGTAGTAAGCTATATTTGGAAAATACTATATATACTTGTTACTTACATATGTTATTTTCCTGTTGTCTTTTCTGGTATATTCTTTCTATTTCTCTGAAACTATTTACTGTTCTCTTATCTTTCAGACTTGACTTTTAGATGTTTGAATAAGGACTTATCTTCAAAATAGCACATTAAGGAATCAGAATGATCTCAGTGGGAAGTGAGTGACAGGTTTAAAAACTGCGCCTAAGACTAATACTAATTCTGGAAGATATTTGAAAGTCAAAGACAGGTTAGAGAAGGAAGAAGAAAATCAGAATTAATATTACAGACAAGAGATGATAACATATGACAAAATGTCCATTTTCAGCCCACATACTTATTTATCTCAGCATCCAAGAGCTTATTCTACGGAGAAACCTTATAAATGTGAGGAATGTGGGAAAGCCTTCAGACGCGCCTCACACCTAACTCAGCATCAGAGCATCCACACTGGTGAGAAGCCCTATGAATGTAAACAGTGTGGGAAGGCCTTCAGTCGTGGTTCTCAGCTAAGTCTTCATCAAAGACTTCATACTGGCGAAAAACCCTATGCATGCAAGGAATGTGGGAAGGCTTTTACTCAAAGCTCACAACTTATTTTACACCATAGGATTCATACTGGTGAAAAACCATATAAGTGTGAAGAATGTGGGAAAGCCTTTATTCGAAGCTCACAACTCAGCCGACATCAAAAAGTCCATACTGGTGAGAAGCCTTTTGAATGTAAAGAATGTGGAAAGGCTTTCCCTCAGAACTCGCAGCTTACTCTGCACCAGAGACTGCATACTGGAGAGAAGCTTTATGACTGTACAGAATGCAGGAAGGTCTTTACTCAGCTGTCCCAGCTCATTCTCCACAGAAGAATCCACACTGGCGAGAAGCCCTATGAATGCATAGAATGCGGGAAGGCTTTTATTTGTGGTTCCCAGCTTTCACAGCACCGGAAAACTCACAATGGAGAAAAGCCATATGAGTGTAAGGAGTGTGGAAAGGCTTTTATTCGAGGCTCACTACTTATGCAACATCAAAGAATTCATACTGGTGAAAAGCCCTATAAGTGTGATGAGTGTGGAAAGGCTTTTATTCGTGGTTCCCAACTTACTCAACATCAGAGGATTCATACTAATGAAAAGCCGTATGAATGTAAAGAATGTGGAAAGACCTTTAGTCATGGCTCACAACTTACTCAACATCAGAGAATTCATACTGGTGAGAAACCTTACCAATGTAAGGAGTGTGGGAAAGCCTTTAATCGTGGATCGCTCCTTACTCGACATCAGAGGATCCACACTGGTGAAAAACCCTATGACTGTAAAGAATGTGGAAAAAATTTTAGTCGAGGCTCAGAACTCACGCAGCACGAGAGAATCCACACTGGTGAGAAACCCTATGAGTGTAAGGACTGTGGGAAATCTTTTATTCGTAGCTCACAGCTTACTCAACATCAGAGAATCCATACCGGTGAAAAGCCGTATGAATGTAAAGACTGCAGAATGGCCTTCACTCAGAGCTCACACCTTTCCCAGCACCAGAAAGTGCACACTGGTGAGAAGCCCTATGTATGCAGTGAATGTGGCAAAGCCTTTGCTCGTGGATTACTGCTCATACAACATCAGAGAATTCATACTGGGGAAAAACCGTATCAGTGTAGGGAATGTGGGAAGGCCTTTATTCGTGGTTCCCAGCTTACTCAACATCAGCGAACTCACACTGGAGAAAAACCTTATGAATGCAAGGAATGTGGGAAGGCCTTTGGTCATGGCTCTCAGCTTACTCTACATCAGAGAATCCATACAGGTGAGAAACCCTATGAATGTAAAGACTGTAGAAAGGCCTTCACTCAAAGCTCACATCTTTCTCGGCACCAACGAAGTCATACTAGTGAGAAACCATATCAGTGTAAAGAATGTAAGAAGGCCTTTACTCGGGGGTCACAATTAATGCAACATCAGAGGATTCATAGCAATGACAAATCTTTTGACTGTAAAGAATGTGGAATAGACTTTAGTCATCACTCACAAATTTTTGTTTGAGTTAACTTATTCTTTTCGATTAGCAGAGCATTTCCTGATCATTATCAGTGAAAAATTCTTACAGATGTGAATATGGAACTCATGAGGTTCAGCATTTGGAAAATTATATGGGAGAATGGAAGTGCTGATATAATCCATATAAAAGCCTTTGTTTATAACCATATTACATTTTAGCAAATTAAAATATAAAGTGATTCTGTTACTGTGATATAAAAGTGTCAACATTATTGTGGTCCTATCAGTTCACTTCCTTTGTGACATTTGTTATAAGTAACCTTGCTTTGATTTAATAGTTTGTAAGATAGATCTAAGGCCATTTTTTTGTCTTATCATGTTTAAACATGTAAAAGCACTTAGAACAGTGCCTTGAATATAACATATCATAAACATTAGGTGCTATTTTTATTAATGTGATTCCAGAGAATTTGCAGAGCTGCATACTTAACATTAAGAAATCTTTCAATATTATTTGTCCTAAACAAATTATTTAGGTGGGAGGTATTATACACTGTTACCAGTGCAAGAAAGCATTCATTCAAATCTCATGTATTTGTTATAAGAAAAATGTATGGTATGAAGACGCTCTATGGCATTTGTGGGTTATTGAGCACCACTGTTCCTGAATGTGGGAGAGGTGTGGTTTCTCGTAAAAGTCCCAAGCTTACATGTTTCACCCTCTTTGATGTCAACTCAAGAATATTATTTATAAATTATGAACTAAATACTCAAGATTAATCTAGGAAATAAAAAACTTGAATATTTAGTTTGTTACATAAAGTGAAAAGTTACACCCTAAGACTATATTTCATTTGCAATGAAAAAATCTGATGTGCTTGTATCACAGACTGCTGTTCTACCCAATTTTCATTTCCATATCACTCACAAAAAACCTAGGCAAAAAAATCCTGTCTCAGTCTCCATTGCAGGTCAACAAGATGAAAACAGAATTTGTATGAGTAGAATATTTAAGAAATCCTTCCTCTGTTTCTTTTCCCTTCTTAACACTGTAGACATCTGAGTTGGAGCCCAGATAGCCTCATGAGGATTTTGGAAGTGGTATCTGGGTGTTTGGGATGGTGGAGGCTGCAACCCTGCTGATTTTGTGAACAGTCATTCCAACTCTGCTCTGCCTATGTATTCTTTATTTAAAATTAAAGTAACTCTCATATTGTTGATGCTCTCCTAGTACTCTGAAAGATAACCCCCTCCTCTCCCTCCCTCTCCCCTCTCCCTCTCTGTTCTTTTGAGAGTTTCTCTGTGTAGCCCTGGCTGTCCTGTTACTCACTCTGTAGACCAGGCTGGCCTCAAACTCACAGAGATCCACCTGCCTCTGTTTCTGAGTGCTGGGATTAAAGGTGTGCGCCAGCATGGCTGGCAGTAAAGCTTGCTTTAAGGGCACAAACTAATAAACTAATGTTTGACCTGGCAAGAGGCTGCTGTGAGTAAATGATATCTCGGTATTAATGTGAGGTCATGGAGTGTGAGGGCATATGGAGAGTGAGGGTGTATGGAGAATGAGCTTATTTCTTCAGGCAAGACATTTGATCAGCCTGCATCCTACTGTCTTGTAAGGTAGACCAGATACCAATCTAGGCATTATTAGAAGAAATGACAGGAATGATACAGAACATGCATGCTCAGTATTTCTTGCTGGTTTAAAAAATGTCTTGTGCTGGGTGGTGGTGGTGCACAGTCTTTAATCCCAGCACTCGGGAGGCAAAAGAAGGTAGATCTCTGTGAGTTCAAGGCCAACCTGGTCTACATAGTGTGATAGTGCGTTCCAGGACAACCAGGGCTACATAGTGAGATCCTATCTAAGACAGAGACAGAGATGCTATTTCTGACAGCAAGTGTTCAGTCTTCTTCTTCTTTTAAAGATTTATTTATTTATTATGTATACAGCGTTCTGTCTGCATGGATGTCTGCAGGTCAGAAGAGGGCACCAGATCTCATTACAGATGGTTGTGAGCCACCATGTGGTTGCTAGGAATTGAACTCAGGACCTTTGGAAGAGCAGCCAGTGCTCTTAACCTCTGAGCCATCTCTCCAGCCCCATGTTTGGTCTTCTTAACTGAAGCCTATGAACTGACTTGAAGAACTTGAACAAAATCTGAGACAACAGTCCATGCCTACAAAGGTAAGTAGGAATGCAGAAAACTGGAATTTTTTATATGCTTTCCCCATCCAAGCTTATTCTAAAAGTAGTCTCTTTCATTTGAGTGCTTGCTAAAATACAACCATTATTCTTGTTGTTTGGGTATATCTATGATCAATCTTAGGAGATGGAAAAAATAAACATAGACCATGTTAAATATAATTGTATCAGGCATGGTAGCACACCTATAATCCCAACACTCGCTGGTGAAGGTAGGAAGCTGAGGCAGGAGTATTTAAGGTTCTGGGTCATGCAGGACTAAATAGTAAATTCTAGACAATTTTATAAAAAGAGAGTCTGTCTCCAAAAAATGGTAATAGAGCAAAAGGATCATTAAAAAAGAGTTAGAGTCCATTAAGAAGAATCTGGGTCAAAATTCGAAAGTCTAAAGTTCATGGAAAGAACATTCCAGGAAGGTCTTCCTATGTGGATTGTCTTAACATTTCTATTTTTCCATCCAAATCCTCAAATGCTGAACTTCATGAGAAATATACGTCTCATATTCACCTAACAGGACATCGATGTATTTGAGGAATACCAGAGGGTCTTAGGGTTCTATGCAAGGGATGATAGACAGAAGGCCAGAGAGGTAACTAAGGGCTATGTCTTACAAACCTTTACAAGCACTTTTTACTTTATTCTGAATGAAATGTGCAACCATTGGAGGGTTTTGTGCAAAAGGCATGACATAATGTGTAGCCATCATTGATAAAATATGCCAGTGACCTAGACAGTGGTTCTCAACATTCCTAATGCTGCAACCCTTTAATACAGTTTCTTATTCCATGGTGACCCCAACCATAAAATTATTTCATTGCTACTTCATGACTATAATTTTGCTACTGTTATGAATCATAATGTAAATATTTGATATGCAAGATTTCCAATATGTAACCCCTGTTAGGTCACAACTCACAGGTTGAGAACCACTGGCCTAGACTGTGATTGTTGGGCCTCATGAGGCCTGGGCATGAGGCCCAGTGTAACTTCCTAAGCCTAACTTGAGTTTGGTGTAACTTCCTGAGCCTAGCTCAAGTTTGGAGACCTGTCTCTGGCTACCCAACCTAGGCCAACTTCTGCGTAGCCACTGCTAATGTGGCAGAATATTATTGGCCCTTGTTCCTTGTTCTGCCTTTTCCCATCCCAGGCCTTCCACCCCCATCACAACCCTTTTTAATTCCCTACTTGAAACCATTAAACAAGATCCTGCTTTGACAGACTCCTGACTCAGTGGTGTGTTTCTCCCTGGTGGCTCAGAGGGGAGGGTGGCTGGGTTGTTCAACAGTCATCATCCTGCTCAGCCCCAGGGAGAGTCAGGATAGCCAGGGCTACACACAGAAACCCTGTCTTGGAAAGCAAAACTAACAAACAAAGTGGTGGGATAAAATTCAGTTCTAACACAAGGGAAAACTGAAAGCTTAGTTTTGGATATGTTACTTATTTAAGTTTTTTTAAAAAAATTATTATTCATATCTGTGTGTCTTTGTGTGCCTTGTGTGGAAGTGTGCCTGAAGAAGCAGAAGAGGATGCTAGACCTGCTGGAGCTGTATAGGTAGTTGTGAGCCATCTGATGTGTGTTCTGGGAACTGAACGTGGATACTCACGAGTACTAAACACTCTTAACCACTAAACAGTCTCTCCAGTTCCAAGGGACTGTTAATCTTGAGATGGTTTTTAGACACCAAATGAAAATACTATGTAGTTGGATGTATAGCAGCTTGTATTACTCTAAACTTAATATTAATTTAATAGTTATTAGTTATACATATTTAAAACCCTGAAGTAGGATGGGATCATTAGGGACTTGATGTAAAGAGCTAGGACTGAACTGTGCATTATCCAACACTGAGATCAAGAAAAGGACAACAAAGGAGCTAAAATGGGGGCTCAAAGAGATGAGGCAAATAAAGACTAGAAGTTCAGAAGCTAAATTGAGGTGGCTAGGATTTTCAATGGTAACATACTACTGGCAGATTAAATAATGGGACTTGAAAATGTGGTTGGATTTACCAGAACTGACATTGTTACGTAGGGAAAACTAGAGATTTATTGTTTTGGGATGAGCATAAAAAACTGAAGAGAATATAACCAGATACAACGAATACATATATATCACTTAGGGAACAGGCAGCATAAAGTGAGTGAGTGTTGTCCCGAAACCGTGTCCAGGGCAGTGTTCAGCCACGCCGAGACTGACAGCCACACTAAAGCGTGCTCCCCAGATCCTAGGAGTCATCACCCAAGGCTTAAGGAAACTGAAAGCTATATTTGGGACTACAGGGGAGCTTTTTACAGGCCAAGCCAGGTCTTTCAGTATTACAAAGACAAAAGGAGTGAGATTGCAGAGTATTCAGTCAGTTGTGGGTACACAGGAAAGGCTGGAGATAAGGAATCACTGCCACCCACCAGGTGGGCCCTGTATGTGAGTGTGAAACTGGGCAGTTGGCTAAAAAGGCTACCACTGCTTGTTTAAAAGGTTTATTTGTGCCTGGAGCTACATGTGGGTGCACCTAAAGATCCATGCAGAGAACAGTGGGTACTCTCTACTATTCTCTAGCTATTCCTTTGAAGCAGTCTCTCTCCCTGAACCTGGGGCTTCCTTTTCCTTCACCAGACTGGGATCCAGCTGTCCCCACTGATCCTCCTATGCCTCCCCACACCCCTGCTGAAATTACAGGCTGGTGCAGGACTTTGGTCTTTGCTCTGGCCCTCAGGATTACTCAGCAGGAGCTCTTGACATCTGAGCCATCTCTCCAGCACCTAGGCTGCCATTTTGTATGACATTGTCCCCAGGTTACTGTCCTCTTGATCACTGAGCTGTGTTTAGATTTGTTGCCTTTAAGGAAAGGGAAGAGTTGTGTTCTGGTTGCCTTGTCTTCTGTCTGTGCCTCTTCTCTCTAAGTCCAAACTGAGTGTCTAGTGGGATTTGGGGGGATAAGAAGAGCTCTCTCAGAAAGCTGCCATCAGTTGGAGGAAGTCACCCAGGAAACTAACATAGATACCCCTAACTGTGAGGAAGAAAAAGTCACGCCTGGCTACACAGCAAAGAAAACTGTCTCTAGAGTAACTCAGATTTGCTAAAGTCCCTCTTGATCACAAAGCCCCATTTGTTCACTTAGCTGGTTCCCCAGGCTATGGCACATAAACCCAGCAGAGCAGAACAGTCGCTGTGCACAGGCAGCCCTGTTCTCTGGATTCTCCAGGAGAAAAAGTGCACAAGCACCCACAAAGTCGACCTAATTCCCATGGTGCTCACTGAGCACTTATTGTAGTTAGACTTTTATCAGGACTGTTAGCACCCCAATAATGAATGGAGACATTATTAATTATGAAAGCTCAGCCAATAGCTTAGGCTTGTTTCTAACTAGCCCTTATAACTTAAAGTAACCCATATCTTTTAATCTACATTCTTTTACATGGCTTGGTTACCTTTACTTTGTATTGTCCATGCTTCTTCCTCTGTGTCTCCTGGTATCTCTGCCCTTCTTCTTCCCAGAGTCCTCTGTGCCTGGGAATCCTGCCTAGCCACTGATCGTTCAACTTTTTATTAAACCAAATAATAGTGACACATATTCACAGTGTACAGAAAGATTATTCCACAACAACTTATGCTTTCTCCTCTACCTACTTGGCCCTTCTCAGCTTCTCTGGTCCCAAGACCACCTACCTAGAGTCCTAGAGTAGCTGTCACAATCCCTGCATTGTGCATCAGGGTGGGTATTGGTTCTGCAAAGTCTAATAAAATAGCCCTAAGCAACCACAATGACCAATGTGATTCAGACTCCAAGCATCTGCAGTTCTAGCAACTAGGCTGTATGTAAATCAGCACCAGCTAGGAAAGCTACTGGTAAAGATTGGATATTCAGTTCTCAGGATTGTTCTCAAGATATAAACAATCCTGTCTGTGTCATTTCTGCCACCTAAGTGGTGGCCATGTTTCATGGTACAGGGTGGGCACAGTGGACTTTTCTGCAGACCCCACCCTGGAGTGGCAAGTTTCAGAAAAGAACATGGATCACATCACAGATGAATTAGGTAAGTCAGGACTGGTGCTTCTGAGGGATATGAAGATGCTTGGTGGTGTCAACTGGAAACTCATTGACCCTATGTCCCGTGTCTCCCTTCAGTCTTAGCCTAAAACAGACACTGAGCTGGGACTCAAACCCCAAGGGTCACAGGTGCTAAGAGCCTTCGAGTAAATGTTAATATTAGTGCCATCAGAATACAGGGTACAGAACCACCCCAACCTCCAGGCCTTAAGCCCCAGGGCACATCCTGTGCCCCTCCCATCCTGATCTCAGCACCAGCTACAAAGTCATGGAAACAGAACAACTCTCAACTGAATTACCAATGGGTCAAAGAAGAAATAAGAAAGAAAATTAAAAACTTCCTAGATTTCAATGAAAATGAATGTATAATATACCCAAACTTATCGGACACAATGAAAGCAGTGCTAAGAGAAAAGTTCATAGCACTAAATGCCTACATAAAGATTTTATGTGATTTAACAGCACACCCGAAACCTCTAGAACAAAAAGAAGCAAACTCATCAAGAGGAGAAGATGGCAGGAAATAATCCAACTTGGGGC